CTGGGTTGGGACCCGTCAGACTCCTTCGTGGGTCGGAAGTCCCCAAACTCACTCGCTGGTGTCCCAGGGCCAGCCCTGGCGAGCGGGTGGTTTGTGTGAGTTCCCTGCCCCCGCAGGATCCCGTCCCCACCTAGTCCCTCCCGGGATGTCCCCGTCTGAAACCGGAAAAAGCGTTTCCAGTTGTGTAAGGAAGTGTCTGTCTCCTGCCCTTTAGGTCTCCTAAAAGCCTCGCCACCCTCTCTCCATCGCTGTGAATTTACCCCTTCTTTCCCTACCCTGTTGTAAATACCCCTCACGGAGGAAATAGTTTTGCTAAGAAATAAAAGTGACTATTTTATTAGGACTTTGTTCTCGGTTATTCACCCGTCCCCTTGGGCCTGCGTGGTCCTTCCCAAGGGGCGGTGAGGGAAGCACCAGCCAGACACCCAACTCCTCTGGCTCAAAAGTGAGGGTTGAGTGGTAGAACCTCAGCCGTATTTGAGGGGTAGAATAGGTTCACATATTCTAGGAAACCTCAAATTCCACTTTCAGCGTGGGGGTGGGGGGTTAGTCACAGGTCTTGATGCAGAAGCAGAGAAGAGCATGCCGCAATTCTGGGCCATGGGAAATTCTTTGCATGATCCCTGGGCCACCTAGGTAGTGCTGGTGGCTCCTCACAGTCCCTGTTGCACTTTATCCACCTTCTTCCCTTAACTGCTCCCTAAATTCCCTGGTCCTTTGTACTTCATAAGAAATATGGGCAGGATGGGTTAGCAGCCACAGAAACAACCGATTCTCAAGCCTTTTCTAAGCATAGGGGGTGGAATATACCCTTGAACTCCTGAGTCACCTCCCAAATGAAACTAAATCTGGCAAATGAAATTTTCCACAAAGAAACCTCAGAAGAATGAAACCAAGTCCCCAGGAGTTGTTCCTCCTTGTCTGAAGGCAGCACAGGGAACTGGAGGCACCTTGGTCAGTGGTCTTGGTTGTGGTCAGAGGCACTGAGCTCACAAATTTGTCTGGGGAGAGGTGCTAGGTAAAATACAGGACACCCAGTTAAATTTACATTTCAGATAAATAATGGATACATTTGCATAGGGCACACTTATCCTAAAAATTTATTCATTAGCATAACCAATTGAACTGGGTGTCTTCTACTTCTTTTTTGTTTGGCCCTAAATCTGGTAGCCCTAATTCCGGGGGCATGTGGAGTGGGTAGTGTTCCCTTCTCGTCCTGAATGATCCCAGCAGCCCTGCCTTCCTTCACAGAGCCTAAAGCAGGCAAAGTCCAGAAATGCTTTTCCATTTATTTCAGAGGAAAGGAAATAAAGTCAGATACTTTCCCCACCCCACCCCCTTAGCTCCTGCCTCACCCAGAACATGGAGTAAAGGAGGGACAGGGCCCAGTCTTCTGTAAAGCCTGCCCTTCCCCCAGTCCTCCCTTCCCTCAAAGTGGCAAGGTTAGAAAAAAATTAACTATGCTGTTCCTTTTCTGGAACTGGACAGAGGCCTCACTGCAGCCAAGAAGGAGGGGGAGGGGGCAGAGGAGGGAAAGGACTTCCCCCTCAGGACACAGAAGCCCCCCTCCCAGGCAGAGAAGCTGCCCTGGCTGCCGTGGGGAGGGGTGGAGGTAGGTTATGGGGCAGGGCGAAGAGAAGAGCCCTGAAAATCTTTTCCCTTTAACCTGACATATTTATATATTTACAATTATAGGGGTGGGGGAGTTCATGGTGACATTAGTTCTTCAAAGGCAGGGAATGAAAGCCAAATAGCACCCCCAACTTGGTTACATTTTCCTGCCTCCTAGCTCCTAAAACCTTCAGTGGGAAAGGGGGAAACAGGAGGTAGGGGGTGGAGGGAGGGAATGTTTGAGGGTCCTGAGCCCACCACTCACTGCAAAAGAAGGGGAGGCAGTGGAGGCAGAGCAGCTGGGTCCCACCAAGAAAAGGGCCACCGATGCCTGGCCTCTCCACCAGCTCCCCACATCTCCACGTGGCCCCAGGCGGGGGCTATGCCAGACCCATCTCCTCCAGCACACTGCGCGGCGACTCATCTTCCTAAGGCAGAGACAGACAGAGGGTGATGCACAGACACCAGGAGAGGCAGACGGGAGTGAGGGAGAGGAGGGTGGGCAGAACAGCGAGGAGAGAGTAGGGGAAGCACAGAGAGACACAGGGAGGGGAGAGAGAAGCCAACGTGAGCCCAAGGCTGGAATACCTGGGGACCTTTCACAGGAGCTCCCCAACCTCCCAGGACCACGCCCCAGAGCCAACCATGGCAAGGAGCAGGGTCCAGATTGAGTCCACCACCACCCAGAGAAACCCAAGGCTAGGAGCTTGGTGAGCAGGGGGCTTGGCTTTAGTATCTGAAGGGGAAGGGAGTAAGGCTGGGACTGCAGGATGGGAAACCTGCTTTCCCAGGGCTGGGGTGGCAGATGGCTGGGTAGGTCCTTTTATTTTTTCAGAGTTGGCAGAGGGAGTAAGAAGTTGGCATTAGGTCCCTGAGGAAAGGTGGACCAGACTACAGAAAGATGAGTCATGAGGGTTTGAGCAAAGCACCAATAACAGGTGTGTGTGTGTGTGTGTGTGTGTGAGAGAGAGAGAGAGAGAGAGAGATGGGGGAGTGGGACTGGTGAATTGGCAAGTTCGATTCTGTCCCTTCTCCCACTGCAGGCAGGAGCACCCCCCCATGTCTCCCCCTCCTCAGAGCCAGCTCAGGCCGCCTTGCTCATCATTGCAGGTTCCGGTGACTCATCTCCCTGCACCAAGGCTCAGCAGTGGCACAGAAGAGAGGGGGCAGGCAGTAATGGGGTGAGGGCGGGGGTGCTGGAGAGCAGGCAGAACAACAGCCAGGTGCCCTTGACCCCAGCGCCCCCATCCCTGCAGCAAAAGTTTGTTTCTGAGAAGCAGAGGCTTTGAGCATGAGTGTGTTAAAAAAAAAAGAAAGAAAGAAAGAAAGAAAAACAAAGGGAAGATACCAGGGAAGAAAAAAAAAGATCTATCATCTGCCCATTTGCCAATTCTCTGAGCAACCCTGAATGCCAAGAGAAGCGTGGAACAAAGGCCATTTGGCTGGGATGAGACATCCTGGGTCTTGGGAGAAGGAGGGGAGAACTGGCACAGCCCTACTATCTCCCACCAGAGTAGTCAGGGCTTGAGGGCAAGCTGGCCAACCGTGCACTGTGGGGGCCAGACACCACAAGGAGGGGGGCCCCTGCGCGGTGGTGGGAAGAGGGCAGCTGGGGCCGGCAGGCTAGGTGTCCAGGGGAGGGAGCTGCCACGGTACTCTTTCTCTTCCTCACTGCCTTGGGCCCGTACCTCCTGGAGCAGGTCTGCCTGCTCGATAGCCTTCAGCACGCTCTTCTTGGAGGTGTCCTGGACATCACCCCCCATCAAAAACTCATCCAAGATGAAGTAGGCCTTCTCAAAGTTGAAGATGATGTCCAGCTCACAAACCTGGAAGGAGGGGGAGAAGGCAGAGCTTACTGTGGAGGTGCAGCCCTACCCCACCTGAAATCCCAGCAGCCCCGCCTCTCTTCCCATCCTGGCCCCAGGCCTTCTTGACCACTCCTCCAACTCCAAGGCCTTAGTCCTTGGTTTGGCTTTTCTTGCTCCTCTTGCTTCTTTCTCTGTGATGATGAAACATTAGTGGCTCTAGTCTACCCTTGACTGTGACTCCTGTTGCCTTCCCCTCAAATGTGTGACACTGCTTCCACTGGAAGTGGGGCTAGCTCTCTGCCCTTGGCACTGGGACAGCGCAGAGGAGGAGATTCCAGATCCTGGAACTTGAGTTTCAAGCAGTGCTATGTCACTAACCAGCTAGCTGTACATGCCACTTAATTTCTCTGAGCCTCAGTTTTCTCATCCAAAAATGGAGACACCGACACCTACTCACAGGAATGGAATGAGGAGCAAACAGGAGAACCTGAGAGCACTCTGTAAATTGTTAAGTGGAATACAAGTTATGGAATTATTACTATTCCCCAACTAAGATCTCAGCTGACTGCCAATGCCTGGGCAACAGCCCAGATCAGTTAATTCAGAATTTCTGGGGGTGGGACCCAGGCATGGCTATTTAAAAAAACAAAAACAAAACAAAACCTCCAGAAGATTCCAGAGCTAAGTAGGTCAGGAACCACTGATAAAATCTGAACTTGGCTTCTGTCCTTGTTTGAGAAGTCTAGATGGACTGATGGAGTGGCAGATTCTGGTCCCCATCCTCCTTCCTGGGGCTGATTAAGAGGCATGGCTAATAGGCTTAAGGCGGGAGATTAATTACTGTTCTCATTGCTCCAACTTCACCTTTCCCGAGTCTTCTAGGGCAGAGGCTGGAAGGGTCCCAGGGTTTGGTAGAAAGAGGCGACTGCCTGGAGGAAACTGGGGTGGGGGTGGGGAGACTTACGCTGCCGAAGTATTTGTCCAGGAGCTCCACGTATCGGTGGATCAGCTCCAGAGTGATGAGCTCATTGTCTTGGCCCTCGATGGCACAGCAGAAGTAGAGGCTGGCATATCTGAAGATGCGGGCACAGGAGGGCTAGCTGGGAGGGCTGCTGGGTCTGCCTCGAGACCCAGGGACCCAGGCATGTGGTGCCAAACCTCTCATTTCCCCTCATTTTCAGTGCGTGCCCCTATTGGACACAGACGGGGTGACCCCAGGGTATGCAAATAGTAACTCATTCAGCCTCTTAGCGCCTCTCATAAACACAGGCAAAGACACAAGCTCTTTCCCTCTTGCCCTCTGACCTGTTCACTTTGACTCAACAAAGTATCTTGAGTCAATTAATTCACCTGCTCAGAGAAGGAACCGGAAACGGGGTGTGTGTGTGTGTGTTGGGAAAAGTGGCACAGAATCCATGACTGTTGAATGAGGCTGCAAGGGACGTGTGCAATAGACAAGACAGAGCCTTTGGGACAGAGGTGTGCACGTGAACTAGGTGTCAGGCTTGAGCAAAACCAAAAGGGAACAAGGATTTCTTCACGGTGAATTTGCAAAGGAAAGGCAGCTGGAGTTCATCACTGCCCTCCAGATGGCCTTAGCTCTCAGCTCTTCCTGACCTAAAGGACAACTTATTTCTCAGCCATTGGAACCCACTGCCAGACCCCAGTTAAGCAGGATCCAGGTGGTACTGACAGAAGGTGGGGAATCACCTCTTGTAGACAACTTTGAGGTCCCTCCACTCCAGGAAGCTGCACATCTTGGGCTTGCGAGCCAGAACAACCTGCATAAGCTCCCGAACCATCTTCTTTCGCTCCTTGTCTGATGTGGCCAGGTACCATTTTTGCAGCCGCAGCTTCCCCTGCCGGCTGAACAGCAGCATGAATCGCATCTAGGGGGCGGGAGGGGGTGGAGTCAGAGCTGACGGTCAGAGATTCGTTTCTCCGAGCAAACACACAGCCCCAAACTCATCTCATCTAACCCTTCTCAACTCATAGCTCCTACTTTCTTCAAAACATCAGCCCTTGCTGTCAACTCCAAGTATTCCCAGAAGCAGGTGTCTTTCCTTCAGGGGGTGTCAGAGTTTCAGAATCTTATCTTTTGGGTTCAAATCCTGGCTCTACTGGTTTGAGTAATTTGCCTTGGGCAATTACTTTCTGTCTCTGGGCTTCTGTTTCCTGATGTATAAGATGGAAATAATCAAAGTACCTACCTTACAGAGTTGTTAGGTGGGTTAAGGGAGTTTTTATATGAAAAAGTACTTGGCAAATGGTAAGCACTATAACACATTAGGTGTCACTATTCCCTGACTTCCTGTTTCCTAATCCTGTTTTCCAAAGGTGGGTAAAATATTAGCACAGTGACAAGCAGCCTGTACCTGTTGTCAAAGAGATGTCTGTTTTCTTTCCTGCTCTTTCTATTCATCACCACGAGGAAATTAGGCATTTTGCCCCTCAAGAAGCCACCTCAATTCTGCCCCTCTCCCGCCCCATCCTAGCCATACACCCTTCCTGGTGTCCTCAGTACACTGCCTTCCAGTGCTAGTCCTATGTCCAAGGGTATCCTTCATGTTAGCACATGGTACTGGGACCCCCAAACTCCACCTTCCTCTCTTCCCAACCATCCAGGCATTTGGCTACTGATATTTCTATTTTTTTCCTTTAGGAAGCCTCCTGCTACACGCCCACACCTCCCCAGATACCAGGTGACCAATTTCCCTTTCAGTTCCTCAGTTAGGACACAGCCATTCAGGGTGGCTCACCTAGGGAATGCCTGTGGAACAAAGCACAAGGGGGTGGAGTGGGGAGGAGTGCAGAGCCCTCACTACCCGGTGCACACCCCTCACCACAACCCCCGCTTCCTAGTTCCGGAGGGTCCGGGCCACAACACTCTGTAGCTCTTCTCTCCAAGTAATTACCAGGGCTGGAATCCTGGGTGTGTGGAACGTTACTACTTTAGTAGGCTAAAGATCAAAATTCAAGAGAACTGGGTTTTTTTGGTGCCGGGGATGGAGAAGCGCTGCTAGCGCGGTGGGAGGGCAACAGAGGGGCGGAAGGGAGCCGCGCGCGGCTGGGATTGGGGGTGGGCCGGGACGAGGGAGCAGGAAGACGGAAGGCCTGGATTCCGGAAAGAGGAGGGGGTGGGGGGCGGAGAGTGAGGAGCACCAGAACCAGGGAGCCAAAGCCCGGGTCCCGAGAGCAAAACCTCGAGCCCGCTTGGCTTCCCCACTTTACCCCAGTCTCTAGGTGAGCAGGGCGACAAATCGAGGCAGGACGTCCACTCCTCGTACCCGGAAATTATCCCCTCCCACACACCGCCCTCCCCGCCAGCCACCGCTCCTCTCTGGGCTGCATAGGGGCAGAGGGTCTTGGTGACCAACGACCCCCGCTGCCTCCCTCCGCCAACAGGCCCCGGAGCCCCTAATTCTCGGGCGACTTCCTTGCGGCAGTGGTCAGGACCCCCTGGATCGCGACCCGCGCGCTCCCCTAGGCTCGGGACGGTCCCGCTGCCCTCTAGTCACCTCTCTCGCCCCACAAATGTGCCCCCTCCCCGCCCCTTCCTCCGAAAGCCATTTCCAGCTGCTCTTCTTTCCGAGGCCGGCAGCTCACCCGCCCAGGTAAGTGAGGGCCTCTGAGGACCAGAAGAAGACAGAGCGGTTCACACAGACGGCGGCCCCCAAGGACCCCCGCAGGTGCAGCCCACGCCCCTTGGTTCCCCCTCCCCTCCCTCTTTGCACAGCCTACCATCCTGCAGCCTCCGGCTCTGCGCGTCCCTCTTCGGCCACCGTAGGCGCCAGCTCCCCTCCCTTTCTTATCCCTTCGCCTTCTTCCCTCCCTCTCGCTCGAAGCCCCGCCCCGTTCGCCCCAGCCTAGAGAACCAAAGCGTTGCGTAATGCGCAGGCGCCAACGCTGAGGGGCGCGCTGGCGGAGCTGGAGGCGGAGAAGCGCAGCCATGGCAACCAGGTCCTTGACTTCAGCTTCGAGTAGCTCTGTCGTCTTGGTAACAAGGCTGTCTTGTGGGCTGGTTGGAGGATGGGGGAGGAGGACAATGAGGTCATCGAGCTTTGGAAACTTGGGGAGAAAAGGCGGGAAAAGTGGTGAGAGGTGGGTGAGATGACCATTGGAGTTTGTGAGCAAGTAGGGAGGTTTAATGGAAGGGGCGTGGGCGATTGAGAGGGAGCAGGGTGGGGATTGTCTGTAGGGAAAGAAGAAATGAGGAGGAAGGGAAGACAAAAGGTGGTGGTGGGGCAGGCATGAGAAGAGTATGGAGCTCAAAATAGATATCTACCGAGAACCTGCTAGATGCAACACTCTCTTAAAGTAAGAGAAATGTGTAGATAATGAGGAAGATGAGAAACAAAAGAGAAAAGGAAGGGCTGATAGAAAAGTGATGTAAGGAAGAGGGGGAGAAGGATGAATTAAGGCGAAAGAGGAAAAATTAGAGAGATTCTTAAAAGGTTAGCATGGGTCAAAGCTGAAAAGGGACAGTTGTAATCTAGACACAAATGTAAAGATGAGAAGAATGTAGATTGTAATACAAGATTTTTTGGCTGAGGATGTGCATATATGAGTGCGCATGCTTGTGTGTATCCGTGCAGTAAAGAAATTTGCATATAAATAAATGGATACGGAAGTCTTACATTTTGTCATGCTGAAAACTTAATGACGTATTTCTAGATAATTATTGATAACAAATGGTGCTATTATTTTTGAGTAGTACTTGAAGTAAATATTGGTAAGGCCCTGCCTATCTCCACTTTGTGTTCTTTTTTTTCTTGCTCTTTGTTATGGAGGTAATATGCTTTAGTTGCAAGAGGGTGGACCTCATTCACCTGGAATGCAATCTAGTCTCTGGTCCTTAATGTATAGTCTCAGGTAGGTCATTTAACCTTTCGTTACCTTGTTTAAAAAAATGAGGATATCAATACCTACTTGTAAGTCTGATTTGAGGCTGTATAGAAAGTATCTGATATGCTGTAAACACTTAATATTGGTAGTGATTACTACTATTTGCCTCTTTCTTCTACTGCTTTTCTTCTCCCTTTCTTTTTCATTTCTTTTTCTCCTCTGCCTATATCATAGGCTTGCCAATGGCATAGATGTTGGCTGAACTTGGCATTATTTTTTAGGTCAAGAATAATATCAATAAACCAAGTTGTTAGAGTTAGAAAGGGTAAATCATTACAGAGTGAAAAGAAGGAATGGGAGTGTGTGAGAAGGGCAGAAAGCAAAACCATTACATGTGCTCAAGGGGGAGAAGAGAAGATTGTATATAACGAAACAATGAGCAGTGAGGTAAAGATATAAAGCAGAGAGCTAAGCAACTCCCCAAGGAAGTGCAGAAGATCTAGAGATGTAAGCGCCTATGCTCTTTGGAAAGATGACACTTTCTAGAATTCCTTGTCTCCACTTGGTATGCCAAGCTACAGAGAAGAGAAGATTCATGAGAGAATTGTTAGACATTCGAGTTTTGCTCATGTAGAATCATCGACTTAAGTGGCTTAAACTAACTAGAAGATGGTGGACTGGATTTCTTTATTGTTCATGAATGACCAATGTAGAGAATCCATGAGTTAGGATCCAATACAATTTGTGTCTGCAGATGAGGTCAGATTTAATGCAGTGGGCAGTTGGGTGTTGTTACGGTTGTCTGAGCTGGGGAATAATTTGGTAAAAGCAGTTTTGAGAAAGTTAATCTTATAGTAATACAGGGGACAGTTTGAAAGTGCAAATGGAAGACTGGAACATCTAGGAGGCAGTTTTGGGAATCTGGGCACAAAGATGAAATGGAGAGGAACAGATGGAAGCGATACCTATAATGGGCCAGTCAACTGTAGCTGAGGACTCATCTAAGTAGAGAAGAAGGAAGAAGAATCAGAGATGAGCCTGGAGGATTAGTGGCACCATTAGTATAAGAGGTGAGCTTCTCCTTCATAGGTACGGGTGGTGTTTGTATTGTTATCCTACAAACCATGCTGACACCTCCCTGAGCTTTCTCTCATCTGGTTGTAGAGGTGGTTCCTACAGTGTTTGGAGGTCCAGATGGCCTCTGAAGCCTTTCATCTCTATGAGTCTTTGATCTGTGTTTCTCCCTCTGTTTATTTTTATTTTTTTTGGAGGGGAGGTAATTAGGTTTTTAAAAGTTTCTATCTAATGGAGGTACTGGGGATTGAACCCAGGACCTTCTGCATGCTAGGCATGTGCTCTACCAGTGAGCTATACCCTCCCCCTGTGTCTCTCCCTCTTGTGATGCTGTCTGCAATCTTTATTTTTTTTGGAAATTCTTTATGTAATCAGTGTTCCTTGATGATATTTGTAGTCATCTCTGTTTTTTTTTTAACTTCTTTTTCTTTATTTTACTGAACAGTTGGGACCTTTATCATATGCTATTCCTAATAGTCTTGACAATTAGAATACTTTCTGTGGTAGATGTTTGCCATTCTTTGTCACTTCCAAGGCTCTAAATCAACTTCCTAGAGTTTGGGAATCCCCTCTTGTAAGTCTAAGGGGAGATAGAACAACCTCCCAGTGTAGCATTTGAAATTCCCAGATACTCCCTTTGACGGCCTTCCTTGCATCCATGGCATGGGCATGTCTGCTGGACTCAGCCAGTCCCTGAACCTGCCTGAACTTTGGTCTAGGAGGGAATGAGACGGGGATGGGGTGATGAGGGTAGGTAAGACTCCAGCAGAGGGTCAGAGGACAAGACATAGGGTGCCAGTGGACTTCATCCTCAGGTGTGTACCGTGAGCCTGCCTTGCTGTTATTTTTCCTTTGTGATTTTGTTCACATTGTTTTCTGGACTGCCCTGCCATTCCCTCCCTGCAGATCCAAATCTGTCTTACTCATCCTTTGGGTTTTAATCAAGCAGCCAGTGCTGATGAGCCTTTAAGTTCTAGCCTAGACTAGAGTGTTCATTTCTACAATGGTCCTCTAAATCATTTTTACAGGGACTCCCATAGCGTTTCAGCTTTTTGGTATCCATTCTCCTTAGATACAGGCAGGCTCTATTTTATTGTACTTTGCACATACTGTTTTTTCTCTTTTTTTCCCCACAAATTGAAGGTCTATGGCAACCCTGTGTTGAGCAAGTCTATCAGCACAATTTTTTTGACAGCATTAGCTCACGTCGTGTCTCTGTGCAAGAATTTGATAATTCTTGCAATATTTCAAAGTTTTTCATTGTTATTATATTTGTTCTGGTGATCTGTGATCAGTGATCTTGGATGTTCCTGTTGTAACTGCAGATGTGGTAGGATGGCGTTTGTATTGTTATACTACAAACCATGCTGACACCTCCCTGAGCAAGAGAACCAGAATTAGCAGCAGAGCCTGAAGACAAAACTGAATTGCTGCAGTCTGGTGACAAAACTTTCATAGATGAGGAGTTGTTTTTTTCTGGATGAGCCAAGAAAGTGGTTTCTTGAGATGGAATCTACTCCTGGTGAAGATGCTATGAAGACGATTGAAATGACAACAAAGGATTGCGAGCATCACACAAACTGAGTTAATTTGAGAGGACTGACTCCGATTTTGAAAGAAGTTCTACTGTGGGTAAAATGCTACCAAATGACATTGCATGCTCCAAAGAAATTGTGAAAGGAAGAGTCAATCAGTGCGGCAGACTTCATCGGTGTCTTATTTTAAGAAATTGCCACAGGCACCTCAGCCTTTAGCAGCCATCACCCTGATCCGTCTGCAGCCATCCACATCAAGGCAAGGTCCTCCACCAGCAAAACGATTACAATTACAGACTAGGATGATGGGTAGTACTTTCTAGCAATAAAGTATTTATAAATTAAGGTACACACTTTTTTTGGACATAATGCTATTGCACACTTCATAGACTTCAGTACAGTGCGAACAGAACTTTTATATGCACTGGGAAAGCAAAAAAATCATGTGACTTGCTTTATCGCGAGATTCTGGAACCAAATCTGTATATTTCCGAGCTATTCCTATACTTGATAATAAGAAGGGTCACTTACACTGTTTTAAAAGTGCTTCATTTGGAATGGGGGTTAGTGGTAGAGTGTACGCTTAGCATGCATGAGGTCCTGGGTTCAATCCCTGGCACCTCCATCAAAGGGAAAGAAATAGAATAAAAGTTCTTCACAGCCCCCAGTATACAGTTCAACTATTAAAGAAAAGCTTGTTCAATCGAATGGACTCCAAACTTGGCAAGATTTGGGCTGAAACCACAGCTGCTGTGCTCCAGAAGCTATCCACTGGGCTCAAAGCGACATCTGGTGGCTAGGGGGTAAAAGGCTACGTCCAGGATGTTCTTGTTCAAGCTGGTAAGGCAAAGATGGGCACGCGGGACACCCTGGCGACCGGCACGTGAGGGCAGCACCTTTGCTCATGACTGCGTCGTCGGAGCCCTGCTCTGTATTCAGGGTGACCTGTGTCCACAAATGCCATAGTGAGAGCGCCGCAGGGTGCGGTGAGGCTGTTAAGTAAAAACACTAACAGCAGGGAGTTATTCCGCCTCCCAGTGTCTTACTTTCCTCCTCTCTACACAAGTCCCTGCTGCCGTTTGTACAATTAGCCTTACTTGAGGAACCCCCTAAAAATGATTTGGAAGACAGATGGTATCTCCTCAACAAGTTTCATTCTGATAGCATCTTTTTCCCATGGAGGGATTTACAGAATCCCTGCTCATTGCCCGCACACGGGCAGATACATAGTTCCACTGGGTGAGGTGAACAAGACATCTGCCGGCATGATGGCTGGAGGCAGATCTTGTGGGGGTTTTAATCCCTAGAAATAGAGAAGGGAAGAGTCAAGGAGGGGGCCCAGGTGGAGCCAAGCGGAGCTGAGCTGGCCTCTTGCTGTGAGGCTGCATCACCTTCTTTGTCCTCAAAATATCCGAGAAAAGCAGAAGGCGCTGTTAAATGGGGCACTTCCTGGAGCAAACTCCCTCGGTGGTAAAGAGACCTTCTGAAGAACTCTTTTCTTTTGAGCCCTCTCAGCATGTACAGCCAGCGTTTGAATTATATCTTGCAGAACTAAGGCTACCGTGTCCTGCTTTTGGAAGCATCACGTGCAGAAGGAAGCTCTTTTGGTTTCTAAGCAAATCTGTTACAGACAGGTGACTCCTCATCACCCGGCCCAGTGCCTGACAGTGGTCATATTTTCAGATATATCTGGGTCCTGCTGTCCCTGAGTCCTTGGACTTTTGCCTTCACGAGCCCAGCTACCTACTATGAGCCCAAAGAGTGATCTGTATGAGAGAAAGGAAAAGGAAGTGTTCCTTCAGGAGAGGAATCCTTTAACACCAGCTAAAGTTTTGGTCACAAATCTCAGTGCAGAAGTACCTTGTGAACTGATCAGGCCACATCTAGGTTTTGTGTCTGTGATCTAAGCCAGCTAGGAAGAAGCCAAATGCCCTCCATGGCCTTTTTTTTTTTCTCTCTCTCTAGTTCTACAACCATATTTTGGTCCTCCAAGGCTTGCCAACTACCCAGGAAGAATAGGAAAGGAAAGATGGAGAACTCAATGAGGTTAACAGAGAGCATCTCTCTCGAAGCTGAGCATAGCTTTGGCGAGCTACTCATTCCAGGCCTCCTTTCCTCTGGGTCTTGCCCTGGTTCCCACTGGCTTTCTAAGGAGACAGGAAGACCTCCCTTCCAGGCTTGATTGCCCCGCTTTCTACGTCAGCCTTTTGGGAGACGAGAAAGCCTGAAGACAGTGACTCAGAGAGGACTCCATAAGAAGAAGGCATAGCAGTCACAGCTCCCTTGAATCTCTTCGTGCATCGTGTTGGGGGCACCCAAGAATGCCTGGGACTGGCCCTTGAGAGGGAAACGGGAGTGGGAGGGGCAGTGAGAAGGCCTTTAGTACATGCAGAATGATTGAGGAGGGAGGGAATGAATGAATACCCTTTCTGGATTGACTCTTGAAAACATTATAATCAAAATTTGCTCCAAGGAAGTTTAACATAATTTCAGGGAAAATTATAATGTGGAAACATCTTTTTATTCAAGGTCTAAAATCTCTCTTTATTCATGGCAGTGGACTTATTTAGGGAAGCTGTGAAGGCTTATTTAAGCTTCAGAAAAGGTAAGATTCTTCCCAGGCAAAATCATCACTTTGGATTGTTTCGTACCACTTGAAAATGTTTGTATTGCTGGAATCACATAACTGTAGGGTTGGGAGATTCTTAAAGGATATTTAGTCCCATTGCCAGGAAGTTAGCCTATAGATACACACAGGCACACGTGCCCTGGGATAAATGTGCATGGATATCTATCTCGACGTTGTTGGTAACAACAAAGATATTTTTAAAGAAGCCATGAAACAACCAAAACATCAATCAGCAATGGTTAAAGATTTATAGTACATCTATATATACACACCTGGTGTAACGAATTAGGGAGAGGTGTGTAGGATGTATCACTAGATAAATAAAGCAAGCTGCAGAACACTATACATGTTACGATTTTATTTGTATGAAAGTAAATAAATATTTTAAATATGACTATAAGTACTTAGCAAAGTTCTAAAAGAACACCCCTCAAATTGGGGGTCTATTAAGTATCCACTTTTACCCTTTCAAACTGTTTGAATGTCTTAGTATGAGCAGGTGTTCCTTATCATTTTAAAAAAGTCACCTGTTCTACGCTGACTGCTAAAGCATCCCACCAGGAGGTTGTCCTGGCTGTCTTTGAACACTTCCAGTGATGGAGAACTCACTACCCCTTAACTATCAGACAATGTTTAGGCCAAGAACCCCAGACAATAATTAGCTTCTATTAAGACATGACTTAGGTTTCCAGGGCTCTGGGTCTATCAGATCAATGTTTAGGGTTCTGGAGCTGGACAGCACACAATTTTGACAGCCAGTTCTTGGTATTTTTTTCAGTTTAAAAAATTGTTTTTGAATATACGAAAGGAAAATAATTGTCCTCTGGCAAGAGCCTTCAAGATGCTGGAGGAAGACAATAAAGGACTCTTCCGGTTGCCATTTTCAGGAGGATATTAAGCATCTACGTAACCAAAGAGCCTTGTTTCCAAGGAAACTGATCTGTCAGTGAGGGTGGGGAAGGTAACATGCACACTCAGAGTTAAAGAGCATACATGCAGGCAAGCACTGTTACACACCAGGAAAAAGAAAGATAGGTAAATTCCAAGTAGAAAGTGCTGATTGGACTGGGTCCATGAGGGATCCATGATGGAGGAAATAGACTTGGTCTGGGTTTTGAGAAATGGGGACTGGATTGAGTGCGGGGGATGGAGGCATTTGGCTTGGAAGGTAATGGTGTTACCAGAGATGGGAACCCTGGGGGAGAGTGAGCATGAGCAGGTCTGTCTGGGTGGGTGAATGGTGTTTGGGGAACCCTCTTTCCTTTTTGAGTATAATGCCCAGAGGGGAGAATCATACATGGACAACACATCCCCAGGGGTCTTCTTGCAGAGTCCCGGTAGCCAGCCTTGAGGATTTGTCCATGACAGGTCAGTGTGTCTTGAGCTTTTGGATATGTGTTTCGCCATAAATACTCGTTTTGCCCAAGAGGTCCGTGAACTGACAGGGTTTGGGTTTTGTCCAGTGTGAAATGTGGAAAGTAAAAGCCAGGGACTATTTTGGAATATTTATTTATTTATTATTTAAAAAAAAACATTTTTTACTTGCTTACATATCAAAAGTGAAAAAGCATATAATGCAACACAATTTCACGAACACTGGACCCCCATTTGGGTATCCTTGGGAACATTGTGTGTGGCTATCATTGTCCAGTGCATAATGAAAAAAGGAAAAAAACCACCAAGAACAAAGATTTTTCATGGGAGAGCACCGTGGGATGATGAGGGTTCTATTAGGTTACATTCATTCGCCATCTATGTGCAATTCTTCAATAAATTGGTCTTCACGCCGTACCCCCTAGCTAGTTGGTTTTCAGAAAGATTATCTAACAGGGGGAGTTGAGCTCGCTGTCTCTCTCATTCTCTCTCTCTCTCTTTCACGTGTCCACTGCTCACACACAGCAGCCGGAAATGACACATTGAAGTGAGTCACAATGCGGCTGTGAGTCACCCTGTAATTGGGGAAAGTTCTGTCCTGCTAGGTCATGTAGCCCCTTGCACTCCTGCTCCTAAATATATTGGAAAAATTTTGAAACTGCTTTGTCCTCCCTGTAGTCTCCCTTCACCCACCACATCCTTTTGGTCCCTAAAGTGGGCTGTGAATCTTGGCAGGGGTCCTACTCCATCAAGTGGAAAGGCAAGGAAAGGAGAGGAGCCAAGGGTTTCGGGCAGCCACCAGGTGGCAGTGTGGGTCCCATCGAGCTGGCCGCAAGAGGGGAATGACAGTCAAGTGGCCAGGCTCCTGAGACGCAGTGACACAGACCACAAAGGAACACTAGGAACAAGTTTAAAGAATACGTTTTTCTCGACAGTCTTTTTTCTCTCTAACAAGCACACAATGACAAGGATGTGATAAATATTCAAGCACACTCCTGGCATTCCACCATCCCCACCAGGAGATTGGAGCCAAGAGCCAGGCATACATCTCATCTTTCTTCCTCTATTTCTGCAAAATAAAGTTTATGGGAAGCAGAAACATGCTTCTCTGAGTAAACAAGTCACCTACACTCCAAAATAATATGTGCACACTGTTTCTGGGGAGGGAGCGGCTAGGCTAGGGTGGGTCTCGCACCTCTGAGCTGGGGGAGGACGGACCTTGCCATGAAAGGGTGTTTCTTCCATTGGCCTTCTTTGGCCTGCCGCCAGCCTTCTCAGCAGTGGCAGACAGTGCAAGAGTGATGGCAGCGTGAAAGGAACACAAATTATTTCTACCAAGCACACAAGTGCTCCTGTAAGCCTTGCGGTGCCGTCCTGCCAGGACCTCAGTGGGACCTGGGTCCAGAGACCCGAATGGGCAGGGTGATGGACAGAAGCAGCTGCGCAAGTGGTTCTGGGAGTTCTGCAGTCTGGGAGACCTTCGGGGAGTTGTGCTTCCAAGGTCAGTCTCAGGGTCTCCACTGGGGAGTTCTACTCAAAGGTCCTCTTTTCCATTCCTGGGAGAGCCTGAGGTCTAGGAGGCAGATCCAAAACATTTACCATTTTTTTAAGGCAAATGTCTTCTCTTTCTCCAGAAAAGTGAATTAAAATAAAAATTCTTTTCTCTAGAGTTTCTTCTTGGACACATCTCCAGTTCTGTCCCAGATGAGGGTGGCTTTTCCCACAGTCAAGGTTCCATCACTTGGCCCATGAAAAGGACTGTTCCTGAGGATGGAAGAACAACCATGGGAGATGAGAACTGGGGAGGAGGGTGGTTGGGACAGCTCACCCAGCTCGGTGTTTACAGATGAATTGAGATACTGAGAGATGAGTGAGTGTCTGGGGACACAGCTGCTCCAGTGACTAAGCCGGGATTGGGAGACAGACAATGCACTCGGATAGAACACTGCCTCCGAGGAGGGGAGTGGAGTAGAATTATGATTCCTGGGGGGAATGTGGGGGGTGTCTACACCTGTCTGGACCGCTGCTCAAGACGAGAGGGGGGGGAGGGCCGTGGGGCCAGCCTCCTGCTCACCTGTGGGGTTATGCCGCACCACGAAGAGGAAGGGTCTGTCCATGATGATCTCCTCGGGGGCCATTCGGGCTGAGACGATAAAGGCTGGAAGAGAAGGGACAATGTCTTAGAGCAGAGAGACGTTGGCACTGGTGACTGAATTGGGCGCAAGTGACTCAGTGACCCCAGCACGGCACTGGGAGGTGGTTTTTAGGAGACTTGGCTGTTTCCTCGACGTGAACCGTAAAAGTCAGGAAGTCCGCTGAGGCCTGGTTTCCTCCAGGAGTTGGGCAGAGATCTGTCGGCTGCCCACTTCCGGGCATGTTTATCTAAACCCTTTTAGGGCGTGTTGGAAGCAAGTTCCTTTAAGTTGACTGGCTACCCTGAGAGCAAGCCGGGCCCTCACATTCAGGGGACCTCAGAGCCAGCAGGTGAGGGGCAGGGGATGGGGCGATGCTCTCTGCACAGGAAGCGCTGCCTTACGAGGAGAGGCTCAGGGGCCCAGGGTGGCGGGGCCTTCCTGGTTCACCTGGGGCTTGCCTGCCAGACCGCAGCCCCTCCTGGAAGCCTGGGGCTGAGCCTGACTCACCTGTGGAGGACGACGCCACTGTGCCGCTCTCGTTCACCTCGATCCTCACTTTCTGCAGTGCCTGCGACACGTACAGAGGCTCTTGATCTACAACAGAGGCGGACACCCGGGCACGTCAGCCTCGGTCCTCCGGGACAAGCTCCTCGATCCTCTGCAGGGCCCCACAGGCCACCAGGAGAGGACAGTGGAAGGAAAACCTCCTACCTGAGAGACTGGAGAAGTCTGCCTGGTTTGGCCTAAACATGTCGGTCATTCCCAGGTTCTCCAGGGGCCTCCTGAGGTCGACTTCACTCTCCAGGGAGAACCTGTGGGCAGGAGCGGGAAACAGCTCGAGCTCAGGCCACCTCTAGCCTCCAGCGCCCTCCCTCCCAGTCCCCTACCAGGTGTCCCCGCCTCCCAGGGAGGGGGTTGTGTGGGGACAGGACAGGAGACTGATGGGGAAGTGGAAGCGGGAGGCTGATTTTTTTCAAATCTGTTTGCAAGGTTTCTCTCCTTGCTAGAGGTCTCTAGTATTAAAGAACATTCCTCTGCAATCTGCCCACCCCCTTGAACCTATGACTAATTACTTTTCTCAAATAAGGCAGTAGTTTCAGCATGATTTTATTCAGTCTGGCTTGGGGGCGGAGTAGGGGGGACAAGGGCAAATTCTCCTGCAAGGATATTTGAACAAAAATTCATTCTGTTGATTGTGTTTCAGAGAGCTAAGCCTGAAAAGGACTCAAGCAGCGGGGATTTGGGGTACTCTCTCTGCTTCCCATCAGGACACAACTAATTACCTTGACTTAGAGGGAGAGAGAGAGAGGGCAAGCTACCCAACTAAATTACCCTCCTTCCCTAAGCCTGGCATTATAGCATCTGGAAATTTGGGGTCAGCATGGTGGGAGGCTTCCCCGCAATTCTGGAATTACCCAGCCTCAGCCTTCTGCACCTTCTTTGCTTCTGCAGAAGGATTTGTTTTAAAAATCTGCTTTGTTGGAAGCCAGCTAGCAGCTGTAGTTCAGGCTGTTCCGCCTGCAGAAGTGAGTCCTTTTGTCCCCATTGTTTGGATATTGACTTGAGAAGATGAGGGTGGGAGTGAGGGGCGTTCATAAGAGAAAGCAGATCAATGAATCCCCTCGCCTTCATCATTTCTCTGGCTCTTCCTTTGGCTAGCTTTGGCTGGGTATTCAGAGGGTGGTAGACGTGGGGCGTGGTCTAGAAAAGCTCTCCCTGCCCCCCGCCGTGGCCTTCCGCAGAAGAGGGACAATGAGAAGCATCATAATCAAACCCAGGCCGGAGTGTTTCCCATCAGCCTCCCACACATGTCCCTGCCCTGCAAACGTCACATTTGGGAAACTCAACATGGGGGTGGCACTGCTTCCAGGGAGCTGGGGAAGAGGGGAGGGGGTAAACAGGCATTAGCAAGTGTGCCAAGAGCGCGAGGTGGCTTACTTGGGCAGAACCAGGAGGCGGGTGAGTCTGGTCATATTCCCTTTCCACTGGCTGATGAGCTGGGCATCCAGAATGTTGGTGAGGGCAGAGAGAGGCACCTCTTTTTCATAGGGGGCAGCAATGAACATGCTGAGGGTGTCCCCATGGTAGGGCAGTTCCAGGATGTCGTAGTAATGGCCATCGGGGGTGGAAAACTCAGCTGTAAAGACGCCAAGATGGCACATTGCAAAGGGCTCCCGCTCTCGTTGATTCTAACCCAGCAATGGATTTTCAGCTGGTTTCCTCCTGTCCCCTCTGCTGGTTCTGGAAGCCAGCTCGCCATCATGGCCCCAGCACTCCCCTGTTCAATGTTTTCATTCCCATTTCCCTTCTCTTCTGCCAATTCAGTGTCTTCTGGGTTCTCTGTGTCTTCTTGGCCTGCTTTGCTTTCACACCCCTGCCCCTCACACCCAGCTACTCATGCGTTCCGATCCCCGTCGCCTTCATCTCAACTCCCCCATGGTCCTTGAACTGTGAACCCCAGGTAATCTCCCTAGAAGCACAGGAGGATGAGAGATGGGGCAAGCAGTCAAATGCGGGCCTGAGGGAATTTCTGGATTTCAGCTTCATCTTGCACAAAATGAAGCTGCTTTCTGCTGCTCTGATGATCCTGCTGTCTCCTACTTGGGAAGACTTTATCAAATCTGGGGTGCACTGTAGGGTTTCTCCCCCCTTAAAGGGGACCACCAGGGATGAGGTGCAGTGGTTGTGGCATGTGGGGAAAGGGGTGGGTCTTGCACTTACTGTAGTTGAACTTGTTGGTCTGAGCCATCATGGGCACAGAGATGGTGCTGCCGTCAGATTTGTGGAAGAGGCGGTGGTGGGTGCTGGCCTCTGGGAAGGGCATCTTCCACTGGCCGTTGAAATAGAGGGCGTTCACCAGCACCAGGCGCGTCAGCTGGTCCACAGCTCCTTCCCCAAGCAAGTTGCTGATCATGCCTGTGGGAAAAAGAGGTGATCAGGAGGCTGGGTTTTTTTTTCAAATCCTCTTAGATGGCTTCCTTGAGCTCTCAGTCCTCCAATGAATGTGCGTCAGAAGGAATCCAGTCAGAAGACAAACTGGGGGTTTAGTGAACCAATCTCGCTCTTTTCAACGTGCTCCAACTTCCTAAAAGTCTCAGAAAGCTTTCCAGCTCACCACCCTTTCTGGATCCTGGGATCCTGTCCAGGATCAGACTTGGAAACATAAGCCTCCCCTGACTTTGCTCCCTAAGCTGCCATCTTGAAGGGTTGTGTGCGCTCCTTGTCATGGTTATTACTGTTCTTACACCATCTCATGACACTTTTCAGGGATGCCTTTAGAGTTGGTTCACGGGAAAGCCTAGTTATGGAAAAACACATGATGCTTCAATTCTTAAAGAGCTTGACCTTCTGCCGAGAACGAGGGAAGGGAGGGGTGGGACACCTGGGATTTGCTTCCAAGTCTCCTTTCTCTGCAGGCCCTGGGGACTGGCCTCCCTTCCCTGCCTGCTCACCTTTGGTGTGTCTCTTCACCCAGTCGTTGACGATAAACCTGGCTCTCTCCATCTCTGAAAAGTCCACCTGCTTGACCGTGGTCCGGAACAGCCTGAAGAAGTGGGGCATGAAGCCCTGGACCAACTTCAGATCCCGCTGCACGAAGATGGCATCGGCTGTGCTGATCTCGTCTTTGTTCCACGGCCCCATGAGCTCCTTGTACAGTTGCCGGAGGGCAGGGGCCATGCCCTTCTCTGGACCAAAGTGAGGAGGAAGGGACACATGAAGCTCATGTTGAACCCAGGGCTCCTAGCGGGGCTGACTTCCTCCACAAGAGGCCCAACCCTGCCCGTGTGCACAGGGCTCTTCTTCCCCCAACCCAGGGTCTGTGGAGGGAGATTTCATCTCAAACTTTAATCTCTTCTGCATCTCCTTCTTTTCCTCAAAGATCTTAGGTCCTAAACCCTTCTTTGGCTGAGAATATTTTTCTTTGTTTTTAAGTTATAAGTCCTAATTTTTTTCTTTTAATAATAATAACCATGCTAGGCGTTTCACATACAGAGTTCTAATTACTCCTTACTCCTGGTTGTTATTCTTATTGTCCCATTTTGCAGATGAGGAAACTGAGGTTCAGAGGGGTGATGTTCACTCAGTCACTGAGTGGTGAAGCAGGGCCGTCTCACACCAAATCCACTGGCCTGTACACCTTGTGACACAGGATGTGGTGGGAAGAAGACACAGTGGTCCCAGTGGCGTGGTAGTATAGAATTTGGCTTGGATAAACTGGGATCAGCCCTTCCTCTGCTCTGGTTGGTTAGATCCCTGTCCTGGGAAGACTGTGAGGACCCGTCTCCCATTCTGCCCCCTCTCTCACCATCAATCTTGAATTGCATCGCCGCTTGGATCTGCTGCTGGGTTTCTCCTCCTGTGGTCAGCTGCAACATGGCCAGGACTGAGGCCACCCCATAAGGTGAGAAAACTACATTTCGGTCCTTAGAGGCCTGCACCACCTGCTGAAACACCTTCACTCCAAAGTCTGTGGCCAGGCGGGCCGCCTGAGACTGGTGATGGTAGGAGGCCGACCCTTCCCCAAAGATGAGGGCCAGGCCCAGGGTGAGGCAGGCAAAGACTGGAGACATCCGCATCCTAGAGCAGGTGGACAAGGATCAGATGAGGGAATGGTTCTAGAAGAATGGCGAGTGGGGAGGGGTGATGACACCCCAGCTGTGGGCCCAGCTCCCTGTGTTTGCTGCTGGCTGGTGATGCATGAACACGAGGGCAAGATTCATAGAGAAACCAGGATGGGTTCAAATCTGAGCCCTTTCCTCCCTGTCTCAGCCTCAGGGAGTCTTCAGTGTGTTTTTACCTATGGGAATCTTGAAAACCACTGGCCCACCTTCCAGGGTATCTCCCTTCTTCTCCAGGAGACTGAGATGCTAAGTTATAATAAGATCTTAAATTTGCGTGATGCTTTTTAATTCTCTTATAATGCTATCACAATTGCTGTTTCATTCAAATTAGCAGGCATGAAAAACCCCTCTCCTGAGGTGGGAAAGGGAGGTATTTTGATGGAGAGGGGCAGAGACAGTAGAGGTCCTTGCTTCTGGGTGGTGAGGCTGTTGGGGGGGGCACTGACCACCTTCCCTGCTCCCCTGTGATCACTGCTATGACAGGGTCAACTCAGGGCTGCAGGTCTCCAGGGGGAAGAAAGAGGAGCACTGGGGATCGTGGATGGAGGGGATTCTGCACAGGGGTGTTCTCCACCTTCGCCCGAGATATGAGGTGGAGAGAGTCTGCTTTGCTCTTACCTCAAGTTCTCAAGGTGCCTTGTGACTGGCGGCTCGTTCCTGCCTCAGCCGCTGCTGACGACGGTGGCGATTCCTCTGCTGGAGAGGGGCGTGGCTCCCTCGACAGTGCTCTAGGCCCTTCAGCCAGAGGCAGCTGTGTTCCTCTGCAGGCTGCTGCTTCTCTTTATACCAGATGTGGGCCGGAAATAGATTAACTCATGGTTCGGCCCCACCCACTTTCTGGCTCTGACTGTCTGTCTGAAGGGCAGCCGGGCCCCCTGAGCACCTCCCTCTGCCAGACTTGCAGAGGCATCTGTGTGTGTGCGTGCTGCTCTGTGTGTACATGTGAGAGTTGAGGGCTCCAGAACAGTTGAGCAAACTCCGGCTGCCTTGGCCCCAGGGCCTCCCTTGATTTTGCTGATCTTATGCCAACTTCACCCTTTGCAGGGCCAGAAAATTCCCAGTGTTTACCTCCCCCAGTGCTCAGTGTAGGGAAAAGAGTTTACACGTCTTCCTTTTCCTCTGGAGAAATGAGTCCCTGTAAAGTTATCAGAAGCTAAGGATTTTGCAGACTTCTGTCTGCCAGCCCCATGCGCTGGCCAAACTGGGAAGAACACGCCCCCACCCCTTCCTGGCTGCATCCCAGCAGCCAGAGGGCACAGAGCGTGCCACGTGATTGTCTGGGTTTTGACTGTCTAGGACATGAACCTGGCAGAGGACTCCCTCCCGTCTTTCCCTCTTCCCTGCCAAGTGCTCGCCCATCCGTCCAGTCCGTCTGTCAGTCCGTAGGGTGATGCAAGGGTGACTCCCCCACGTGTCCAGACTCTCGTGGTGCCCCAAGGGCTCTCTTTGTGTAAAATGCCCTGTCTGGCTGGGGTTTGAGGTGTGCCGGGTGGGGTGGCGGGTTCCCGGGGTAAAGGGGTAAAGTCTTGCCGAGGAATTAGGTGCTCAGTGTGTAGGTTTCGGTTCTCTGAGCTGCCTGCGGGGACTGGGGAGAATCCTGCCTTATCCTTCCCCTCCAGGCACAGGCATCTGGAGGGCTGGAGCGGCGGGGGTAGGGATGGAGGCTCAGTGGGGTGTGCTTCTAGGGCACTGGAGTTAGGGGTGGAAAAGTGACCAAAGAATTCTATAGAGGGTTGGCATTGGCTAGAGGCAAGTGTGTAGGACTAAGCTGCTGCATTAAGGGTCTGGTGGGGTCAGGCACCCTTGGCTGTGTGGCCTGATGTTGTGGATTGGGTGGTGCCAGAGGGGTCCTGGGGGGATGTTGCCCTTGACTTGGGTGTCCACACACTGTCATGCTTTGTGTAGGTAGTGGGGTTCAATTGGGAGTATCCATGGAGACAGCCAATAGCAGAATCACAGGAAGTTTAAGTGGGTGAAGTGCAGGGATGTTTGTTTTGGATTTTTTCAGTAAACAGCTACCCAGGGTAACCACAGCTGGAGGGCTTTCCCATCTGCACTCTGCCTCCGCCTTTGTTTTCCCTGTTGCCCCTGGGAGCCAGGTGGGGATGTGGGGTGGCTGGGAGAGAAGGGGAAACCTCAGCTGGAAAGTCAGGCTCACTAGCCTGTTCCCAGGACAAGACTGTTCCCTTGTAACTGCTTCTTGTTTTTGTCCTTTTCCTTTTCTTGGTTTGGCTTGGAGTCTCTGAGAGAGTGGTTAGCCATGTGGAGGAAGCAGTTACCCCTGACCTCTGTCCGATGAAGAGGACAGAAGTTCAGCCCCACAGTCATCTCCCACCCCCAGAGGGGCCCCCAGTGGCTTGCCCTCCTCCCTTGGGAGCCAGAGACAGGCACCTGAGAGTCTGACCTGGGACTGCCAAGCCCTAAGTAGGAAAGGCATTGGATCAAGACTCAGCTGGAAGTGGCTCTCTGGAGGTACCCCACCGCCCAGTCTCTCCAGACACTTCAGCTGAGCCTCATCTCTTCCTCCAGGAGCCGTGGTCCTTCTCCCTGCCAGGCCTCGGCTGTAAAAATCCCTGCTGTTTCCTGGGACTACCTGGGCCCTGCCAGGGCGGTGACCCCTGCTGTCCTCACCCCTGGACCGGAATGATCCTGGGCCATTCCATTCCCGGTTGCAGGAGGGCCTGGGAGCAGCATTGTGTCCTGTTGGGGAGGGGGTGTGTGCTTTACTTTGGAGACAGAAAGGGCTGACTTACTAAGGGGACTTTTCCCAAACGAGAGGGGACCTGTAGGCGTCTGGTGGGTGTGGATTAGCAACTGAGGCAAAGCCGAGTGTAACTGGGTCCCATGCTGAGTTTTCTGATCCTCCCTTTGACTTTCTGATCAAGTATCTAAACCCGGACTTGACCATGGTCCCTGCCTCTCCTCTCCATGGAATGGCCTTGCACCCACCTGGTCTGCCCTTGGGAGACCTTCTCCACACCGGGGTGCAGCCCCATCGCCTGCCTCCCCAGAGCAGACCTCCCTGCCACACCCTTCTCAGAATCTAGCCTGACTCAAGGGACTGTCACTTTCCCCTCTTTCTCTGAGCCCCAAACTAACAGCCTTGACCCATCACCTCTTTTCAGCCTTGGTTCTTTTGTAAGGGGTCAAAAGTCCACACTGTTGAAATCACTGGATCTCTGATTCCCGGAGGGTCAGAGATAAGAGGATGAGTTACAGGGCTGTGGATTTCTGGGGGAAGTTCCAGTTCCAGCCAACTGGGAAAGCTGTTTCCATCCGGCCCTCTGCAGGTGGTTTGTGACGGGACCAGACTCACGCTTTCCGTGACTGTCCCCCGTCCCACTCCCACCCCCACCCCAGTAGCCCTGGTCCAGTCCAGGCCTCACCATGCTGCTTTCCTCCAACCCTCCAGCTGCCCTTCTGCTCTCTGCTCTTCCTCTTTGCTCTCCGAGCACCAGCCACCCAGCCTCTTTTTCGCTTTCCCTTTCTCTGTCTGAGGCTCCCTCGGCTTGATCGCTTCTACCAACCCTCCATGTCCTGGGAATCTCCATGCCTCCCCTCAGGTCTCCTCTGGTCTCAGCCACGTGAGCTCTCACCCCGTTTTCCCACTCTCTCTTTTCGGCTGTCTGTGACTAAAACTGTCTTTCCCTCCCCTCTCCTCTCGCAGAATCCCTTTTACAGTCAAATGCTTGGCTCCAGGCCTTCCTGTGGGGAGGAGAGGCGCCTGCTATCAGTTACACAGGCTCCCTGGAATGCTGGAGCAGGCCTCCTGATTCTTGGTAATCCCTCTGGGAGAGCCGGGGGTGGCAGAAGGCTGGGGTCCTACTAACTCACAGTACTATTTCTGGCCTGTTCGCTCTCCAAACAACACAACGCCCAAAATAGCCTGTGTCTGGGCTGGGTTCTCGGTCCCTCTCGTAGGAGTGAGCAGAGGCGAGGGCTCTGTGTCAGTCTCTTCTCATTGAGGATCACAGCCCTGGGACAGCCTCAGCTGGTCCAGGGTCCCTTCTCACGCTGGCGCCGAGCCTGACTTCCCCCGAATCTGTTTCCAGAAGCCTCTCTTTTTCCTGCCTTCTCCAGCCTCCGCCAGCCATCTCTCCTTAAACTCCCAGAATAGTGAAACCTGCCTCCTCGAATGTGTCTGCGGTTGCTTTTTTCTCCAATTATGTCATAGAGTTTCAGAGCAGGAGGGCTCTGAGAACCATTTAATCCAGTCCTTTGAATTTGCAGGCGAGGGCTCTGAGGCCCAGAGAGGCCGTGTGATGTGTTCGAGGCCAAGTCCTGAGAATGGGAGAATGGCGCTCATTGCCCCGGCCTGGTCAGAGCTCTGACACTTGGCTAGTTAGGCGTCTTTCGGCAAAACTTTGTGAGCCTCAGTTTTGGTGTGCGTAGGCAGGTATCTAGATAGGAATTTGCGGTTCGATAGATACCGATTCCCACCCTTCCGGGTTGTTCCGAGGATTGAATGAAACATTGTGAAATAAGTGTCTGGCATCGTCTAAGCTCTCACTCAGTGGCAGCCACTCTCCACTGGGGCAGAGGAGGACAGGAACCCAGACAGCTCGAGCTGTTAATTTTGACAAATGGCAAGCGCCTTGTTCTAGGCATTTCTTTTGACTTCCTTCAGTGATTAGCAGAGTGGATTCAAAGCCTGGGAAGCGGACTGGCTGGTTACCAGGAGAATGGCTGCCGGCGCCTCTGTCCATTTCGGGCAGATCTTCGGGCAGATTTCACCCCGGTCCTTACAGGCTCCCACTGGCCGACTTGGCAGGCTTTAGATCCCAGGAAGATCTTCGTCTCTGGGCTGCGGGGTCACCTGTGGACCTCACTGACCTTTGACTCGTCTTGAGCCCTCCAGCCTACCAGGACAGAGTGGGGCTTGCTTTATCAAAGGTCAAAGTCTAGCTGAATATGACCTGCTCTTCTAGTCTTGGTCCTTTTGACGCATTCTCTTCCACCCACCCACCCTGTCTCTTTTTAATTCCCATGAAACACCCCATAACTCTTTAACCATCTTTCTGCATATCCCCTGTCTCATAGTCATTTCTGTGCTTACCCTTCAATTGGCTGTGGCCATCTCCTTGTCTCATTTGTCCTGATTTTTCAGAGGGAGGTAAAGGGGGAATATTCCCTGGGGTGGGGGCTCTCAAAATGTCAGTATTCCATGAGCACCAGAGACCCTCATGGACCCCAGGCAAGAAAGAGCCTATTCTCTTCGGAGAAAGAGGCAGAGGGAGTGAATGGGGCCCACGGTGACCACAAGGGTAAGTCCGGGCCAGATGGAATATGTAGATTTGTGGGGTAGGTGTGACCACATAACATGCCAGTGTCAGCCAAGATGAGGTAGTGCAGGCCTGAGAGGCATCCCCCACCCCTGGGCCCCCTGCGGGTCAGATTCAAACCTTTCACTTCTCTTTCCCCAGGTATGTGGGTTGTCCAGCTCTGATTCACTTCTTTTCTCTTTACCAGAACTTGTTCCTCATTCCCTGCGTTCCTGAATTTCCCTGTGTCACTTTCTCTGGACACATCTGTTTCACTTCACCCTGGCTGTTGTGTGAATCTTGGCTTCCCCAAAATGGCCACCCAGTTACGGACAATCAACGCTGGGTGGTGCGGTTCAGTGAAACACAGACTTCTCCTTTCCCTGAAGGCACATATACCCATAGTGGGACAGGAGATTAATGTACATACAATGATAAGATGAAAACTGTCTGTATGCAAAGTTGTAAGACTCAGGCTAGCAGGATGTAGGCTCGAATGTGGAGGGAAGGCTTC